TATCTATCTATCTATCTATCTATCTATCTATCTATCTATCTATCTATTGTGTGTGTTGTGTGAGTGTGAACAATGTATCCTCAGAAGCCAGAAGACGACATCATAACTCCAAAAGTTAGAATTATAGATGGTTGTGAACTCTCTGATATGAGTGTTGGGAATCAAACCTAGGCCCTCTGGAAAGGCATTAAGCGCTCTTAGCTACTGAGCTATCTCTCCAGTCTGAAAATATACCTAAAAACTGAAGAAAGATCAACAAACAAAAATACTCACTATACAGCTTTTCTTTTTCACAAGTGTCATTATAAAAGAGGTGGGTCTCATGTCATAATCAATATTTCTGTTAAGCAGACGGTAAGTTAATAAAGGAAAACTCAAAACCACCCACACCTGTTGCCACTTTCTCAAGAACATGTGAATATCTTTCCCAAGACACACTTAAAGACATCATGATACACAAATGCATTGTGATTGAATTGATCCTTTTCAATGACTTGTTTGGAAAACATCTAAAAATGAGTGCGGAGCATCTGATACTGGCAGGAGGAGAACCCTTATTCCAAGCTGCTTGCTAATGGTAGCTAATTGAAGCTTCAGACTGCTCCTCCCAAAGATGTGTCTTTAATGGTAACTTTCTTGAAAGATTCTTCACAGGCTGAAGGGTGTGTGATGAGGGTCTCACTCACATATAGTAGACACTTCAAAGGTGGGGACTTCTGATACTCACATAGTTTTCTTGAAAATACCCACAAAACTTGACATATCACTCTTTGTTGTAAAATGGGATTTGGGAGAAGGTTGGAGAGTCAGAATTCAAACAAGCAAGTCTCTCACATTGTGTTAACTGTCACTTTGTAATCGCACTCTTCATGTGGAATGCATTTCCTAAGCCTCTGTGTCTTTCTAATCTAAAGTACATATAGCAGGAATAGCAGCATAGAGTTGTGGAATAAATAGCACCATAGAGTTGTGCAGTTCGTATACTTTGTAAAAGTGACTAGCCAAGGGGAGGAGTGGGGACTAGAATCAGCTTGCCATCCATATATAGATCTGGCAAAAAGAATGCACTATCATAGTCTATAAACAGGCATCCTAGAGTTAGCAGGTACCTCTCCTTTAGCATTCTATTTTCCAAAATATCTTCCATATGCGGAGACTGTAGCTGAATGACACGTGAAAATAGAACAATGTGTTTACATTTTCAGACATCATCATCTCTCATTTGATTAATTGGCCTTGGAGTCTTGTTTATTGTGCCTCTCCATTTTATTTTGGCTGCGTAGGGAGATACTTTTAGGACATCAGGAGCTTGTACACAGGGAGGAAAATGAGTCTCACCTATGACATGTGGTTTTGTTGCGGTTGTTGTTGCTGCTGTTGCTGTTGCTGCTGAATGAGCAACTGCTGCTGCTGCCGACGTCGAGCTGTCCGCAGCTTTTCAAAACGAGCCTCCATCTCCTCCAGGACTTTTGGGGTGTATCTGACCACCAGCTTCACACTGTCCTTAGCGGCCTTGAGAAGTTCCACAGCTTTCTCATGGTGCTCCCCTTCCACACTCTGAGAAGACAAGGAGAGAGCTCATTTGTTTCCTCTAGGGACTAATCTAAAATTTCTATCGTGGTAAAAATCCGAACTTAGAGGCAGGTATTGTTATATAGCTCTTGTCTGTAAATTCCAAAACTCATAAGGCTGAGATATGAGAGTGGTTGAGAGTTCAAAGTGTGAGCCTGGGCTGCACTGTATGCTTCAGGTCAGTCTGACATATGATGTGAAAACCACATATACATACATACATACATACATACATACATACATACATACATATATACATACATATATAAATACATATTAAATTTAATACACACACATATATGTATACATATACTTATATATAAATCAAATAAAAACTGAGAGTTTGGTGTTGTATGCCACTTTGTAGGGTGCTTGCCTAACATGAATGCTGCCCTAGGTTCTATCTTAAGTATCACATACAAACTTGGTGGCAGATGCTAATCATGAGGCAGAGACATCAGATGCTTAAGTCATATATGTGACTTTATAGGGAGTTCAAGATCAACCTAGGATACAGGAGATTGCCTCTCAAACATAATAATAATAATAATAATAATAATAATGATAAACCCTCTCCAACAACTAAACTATAAACTACAAAGAATCCAACATCTGCAACTTCTAGAAGACATGGCAAATAAGATGTCATTATTACTTATGTTCATAACTGAACTACAAGTTGGTTAGGCCATATTATGACATAGGGCAGATTAGAAGGCTTGAGTCAGTGGGGCTAAAGATGGGAAAGACCTAATAGTAAATTAAATACTAAAAATGGAATTTCTAAATTTCACCTGGAAGGGTAAATGTATGAGTTGAAAAAAATGAAAACAAGAAAGTTAAACATTGTAATACAAGGAAGCTTTCTCTACTTGAGAATAGCCCCTATTAAGTATCGATAGTGATTCAAATCTTGAAACTTAGACACAGGAATAGATTGTTAGGACTAGATTGTTAGGTAAATGATGCTGAAACAAATAAATAATACAAGCTAATCAATACCCCGTTCTCATACTGTGAACCCTCTAAAGTACATTTAATGCCTTTATTCAAAAGCTTAAGGCTTTGAACTTCAAAGGCTTGGAGAGATGGTTGACATCTTGTAAGGGAAAGAGGGTTCATCAATGATAGTCAGGCATGGAATGTCAAGAGCAGATGTCCAGAGTTTAAGGTTCTGTGTTTCAAACACTGCACAAGGAAAGGAATCAAGCAGGAGGATGTCTGCAGTGTATCAGTGGATTTTTCAAGTCGTTCACAGGGTGCTCTCTTAAAAGTCCATCAGCAGTGTGAGCCAGTGACACATGTGCTTAAGTAATAAAACACAAATGTCCCCTAAACTCATGTATGGGAAGAGAAGTCATGTTTTCCGAACAAGCAAAGAAGTGTAGATCAACATACTTCATTTTAAAATTAAGAATGACAATTTACATATGTTGTATGGACAAGGATATGGGCAAATGAACTTTGATCTAGCACAACTTTTCTGGAGGTGCTCTCATTACTAACTGGAAAAAAATAGTCTATTATCATGAGTGATTTTACTAAGCATAGCACTAGATATATTCCTGTAAATATGACATACAAGATACGTACCTGCAAGTGTGTAAACAGAATGCACATAAAAAGATTAGAGTTTGAGCTTTTGAGATTCAGTTAGTCTTTTGAACATCACAACATGGACAAGTGTTTGGGAGACTATCATTATTTCAAGTAAACCAAGAACTACTGAAGACAAGCCCTGTAGGGATTCTCTAGGCTGGAAAGAAGGGAACAGTTAAGGGGAAGAACGTTGAAGTTAGATGTCATAGGACCTTATGAAGGACACTGCCCTCTTAGCTGACACTGAAGGCATAGATAGCTCCACCCCATTTTACAAGGTTTAAGTGCAATGGCTTTTTGCCTAGTTATTTGGATTAAGAACTGAGGGGTGAGGGAAATGACAGAAGATACAGACAGGATCCAGGTGAGGCTTAAATATTATCAGAACATCTAGAGTCGTAAAGACAGGCTGATTCCCCCATAGGTTAAGATTTCTTTTCACACCACAAGTGGAATAACGACTCAAGGTTCGTCGATATGAACTATGAAAGGGGACAAAACCTATCAGACCTAAAGAGGACATCAATTAAGCTTGAGATTCATAATTACTAATATATAGCTTCAGACGTTTTAGAGGCTATGCTTAACTCAATCCCTTGCCTTCGGTAGGTGGTCATGGGCTGAGGGGAAAAATGTTTCAGTTTATCAGTTTGGTCAGTTGTCACTGCTGCTTGCCTGTGAGGACACAGTTTGTTTGAGTACCGAACAACTAACACAGGTTTACAAAATGGCCATAGTGAGCCAGAAAGACAATTTATGTAGCTATGTCCCTAAATCTGGATTAAACAGAAAAAAAAGAGGATTAAAGGGAAATAGTTTACACAGCCTTTGCGTAGAAGGAATTTTTATCTCTGGCTAAAGCCCAAGAAAATAAACGTGTTCTCTGATTAGTACATTCTTTTGGTTATTCACCTGGTCATTGATAGTCACTAATCAGAATGTTATTAAGCATTTATCTTACTGTGTATAGCTAACAGAAATTTCAAGTAAATAAAAGACAACAGAAAATATTGACCACAGAAACCTCCTTTTTGTTTGCAATTTGTCCCAAAATGATTTATTACCACGTGGACTGTTGCTTTCAGACGAAAGTGTGATTTGTTTATCCAAACACTTCTTTATTTTTCCACATTAAAACCTCCATGGGGTTTTGTTGTTGTTTGGATTTAGCGAGTTCTTACGTAGCATGGGCTGGTCTCGAATGCCCTATGTGGTAGAAGGGTAGAGAATAACTATTGGCCCTCCTAGCTCTACTTTCAAGACGCAGGATCAAAGGTGTGTGCCATCCCACCACATTTTGTTTGTTCAGTAGTTGGTTCACCGACTTCTGAGGCCAGCTGGTCAGCCTTAAGAACTTGCTTTCATATTTTGTAGTATTTGCTTTTATTTAATGAGGTGAAAGTCTTTAGGACAGACTTGGAGTGGCTCATTATTCACCTTTAAGCACTGTGGTCGTCATTCAGAGCGTACTGTGAACGTTTGTGGGGGTGAATTAAGTCTATTAAGAAGAATGGACATCCCAGTCCTGAAAACATTTACATCTGTGTGACTTAAAATATTTAATACTTATTAAAATCCATATAAAAATTAAAAAATTATAGCTATTTTGAAATTCGTAAGTACAGCTCTTATGTAACACCATAAGAGCTGGGTTTCCTGTAAGATAGATGCATACATTCATGTTTTCATTCAAGAACCTGGGAAAGAAACGAGCTCAACAAATAATCCACTGTACGTTTGTTTTGTTAGCAACCTCGCGCTGTAGTAAGTACTAGCACACTTTTACATTTGTTGATTTATTGAAAACATAGCAAAATTGTGGCTGCTGAATGAACCAACCTTTAAACTCAGGTATATTTTGAGATTTCAATACCTAAGCTACGTCACAGAGAGATATCAAACTGATATTTCTAGGATGATCTATTTCTGGAATGATTGAGAATCCTCCAAAAAGGAATTTGAATCGTACTGCCTGCGTGAATTTGCTCACTGTATGTGCCTCCCTTTGTGACATAGTTACACTTTTACTTTGGCTGGGCAACAGCTAGAGGAGCCACCTGGCCTGGGAAAGAATATTACACACTGTACATATGCACTATTCCCGTGAACTGCCAATGCTCAGAGATTTTTCCAGGATTTTCTTCTATAAAATTAATTAAAATTTCATGGCTTTCTCCTTCCCCTTTCTCTCTCCAGCCAGACTTTTCTTATGGAGATCATATTGGTCTTGACTGAGTTTGCTGTTGAGTACCATCCAGAAGCACTCTTGGGCAACAAAGAGGTAGCCTGCGTCATGGGTTGTTCTTGGCATGACCAGGTTTCTAAGCAACATCTGTCATTTGTCTTGGGGGCTAGATGATCAAGGAGTAAAAGATAGGAAAGGTATGAGGTTATGATTCCTTAGTACAATTAAGTAGCTCAGAATGTTGTCTCAGAAAATACCTTTAAAAATATTCTTGTTTATCACCGTTTTTTCTTTCCCTTTCTCTCTCTCTCTCTCTCTCTCTCTCTCTCTCTCTCTCTCTCTCTCTCCCTCTCCCCCTCTCCCCCCCCCCCCCCCCCCCCCCCCCTCTCTTTCTTTCTTTCTTTCTTTCTTTCTTTCTTTCTTTCTTTCTTTCTTTCTTTTCAAGAATAAAGAAATAGGGATCAAATCAGCTGGGACCTACCTTAAGTAGAAAGCTATCTGTTTCAGGACTCATAACTGACGAGTGCTTATAAAACAGTCTCATCCTACTTTTCTAACTAATCTAGAAACAGGACACATGGCTGGTCTGTTTTTCTTTGGGTAAAAGGACAGGAACCAACGATAGCAAAAAGATCTGTCAACTCCCAGCTGTATGAGCTCACTCATGCTCGGGCAGTGTTTTGAGTTACGGTTCTCCGCTTTGAAAAGGCCCCATGTAGTCACACAAAAACCAAGTCTTTTCCTGCACAGAGATGATAGTGATTATTTTATATTTTTCTGCTTATCACTTTATAAGAATATATTAAAGCTGATCAAAGGCTGATTCTAAGTAGCATCCACCCAGCTGTCTTTCAAAATGTAAAGTGCACACTTGCTGGTGGCAGGAAAGCCCTTGAGTGTGGAAGAGTAACATGCTCTTTATTTGCACACACGAAACATGTATAATCCTGTATAATCCTGAAAGTAAAGGAAACATAGGATGAGGTATTTGCAAGCATCATTATAATTCAAATCCTTGAACAGTTTCAGTACAATAATGGAAGCCTAAGTTCTTTTTAAGAATATGAAATTGTATTGTTGCGATGAGAATAAATCCGTTTATTCTTATGACAGTTTTATGCATTTCTGTTGCTTTAATTTTCTTATATTTGACTGTGTACATTTATGTACATGAATATATATATGCACACATATTATAGAT